GTTATTCAAATGGATTGTGCATTTAACCTGCCCCTTAAATACTCCCTTTTATGGTATCATGGAACTATGTTTCAGAAATGGTATCCCATTTTCTCCAGCCATTGGCCATTGTTTCCTTTCTACTTAAACACATGAGGCATATCTTGTGTTTGCACCACCCAAAGCCGGTTTGCATTCCTCTGTGTACACTGATCTATACAGATACCTGTATAAATCTGCATTTTCACAGATGCCCCGTGCTTGTTTGCAAAGGTCACTTCCAATTTAGATATCTCAACTTTGATTGGTACAGCATTTATGTTGGTGTGTTCCACTTGTTTCATCATAGGCTTCCATATAGGTGTGACCAGAGCTCTGGTTTGGTATCTTTAGACGTACAGGACAGGCTACAACTTCTCTATACATACAGCTACCTTTTATTTTCAGTTGTTCCACAATGCCAGAGGTGCTTTCAATCTTGATAAGACTAATCCTTTGTCACAGACCTTCTATGCATGCACCACTTCTCTCACCACTCCAGTATGTGTTACCTTGGTATTACCCTCCCAATCAATTACTTTCCAAGTTGGATGTGAAGATGTTGGTACTGCCCCATCTCCGGAGGACTTATATGTGCAATATTTCATATAACAGAACCTTCTGTGATGCCGCTGTCACCCGTAGTGCCTGCTTTCTGCAAAGTCAGTCTCCTTTCGAAAATTCCTTTTTCTGTCATGTACTGCACTTGGACTTAACTACAGGGCTTTGTGTTCAATTACTAGCTTCTAATAGGTTACAGAGACTAAAATCTTTTTTGATTTTGCCTCCAGCCGGACTTGAACCATTGACCTTGACTGTGGGGGTATAGGAGCTTAACAATTAAGCTATGGGACCCACACCTATTATATATATTACAAATGACTTAATTAACCAAAACAGTAGTTGATAAAATACAAAGTTCTTTATTAAGAATAACAAAGTACAAGCTAAGAATAGTAAGATCAATGAATAATAGTACAATTTTGCACAGAAATTTAGAAAACTGCAATTCATTATGAGATCAACTCACTATTAAGCAAATTGCAAATCTTCATATATAGCTTAATACAAGTAAAGTAGAGAAAGTAGTTACAAGAATATGAATAAAACAAGGACTATTACTAATTGGCACAACAGAAAGTAATTGGCATAACACTTTTTCTAAAATTTATAATAGGATTTTGAAAGATAACATATCATGTTACACAATGTTAAAGGCAAAAGAATTGCAAGTTATATTAAATTTCAGCAATCTAAATTCAGACTTAAATAAAAAAGAAAATAAGATTACTGATATGCTAGATGCTAGCTTTATAAAAAAAGTAGCATTAGTATTAAAAAAACTTAAACTAATATATATAGAACAATTAATCAGCAATTTAGATAATTAAATGCTATTATGACAACAGCTTAAGTTAATACGTAAACAGTCATATAAAGGCAGACAAGAAAAATAGTTTAGTAATATAGAGAAAGAGCTAGGAGTAAATAAGCAAAGCAGAATTATAAAAGAGAATTAGTTAGTCAAAAAACTAAACAAACATGCAATAGAAGTCCAACTAGAAGCAGTTTTAAAAGATAGAAGAAAGAAAGAATAAGTGCTGTTAAAGGCAGATAAGAAAAAAGAAAGTGCTAATCTAATAGTTAAAAAAATTATTTTAAATACACAAAAAAAGGTTTTAGCAGAACATTGGGTAATAAATACAAAAACAAAGAAGACAAAATCAGTATTATACAAATGTAAAGGCTGTGATTTAGGTCAAAGATCAGAAGATAAAAATTGTATAAAGTAGAAAAACAAAAATAAAATTCAAGGCTCGATTTCAAAGTTTGTTAAAAATCAAAAAAAGCAAACTTTAGTAATTAATTTTGATATAATAACACAGTTATGAGAAAAAGAAAAAATAAAACAAAGCAATAGTGAAAGAAAAGTAGAGTATATACAATATATGAATTTAGAAACAGAAATTATTCAGAAACAACCAATAAGTAGGACAATGAAGAAGGACCTTATTTATAGAAAAGACTTAAACCAAACAAGACTAGAAAAAGACTTAATCTTCTATACAGATAGATCTTTAAAAAAAGAAATAAAAAGTTTAAATTAAGACTCAGATCATATAGGTGCAGGATGGGTTCAAGTAGATGAAAAAGAAGAAGAAATGCTTGATGAAGGATATTTTAGAGTGTAGAACTGGCCATCTTCAACAAAACCAAAGTTATTAGCAATATGGTTTATACTACTTATAATACCAAAAAAGAAAATAATCAGAATTTATACAGATAGTGCAACAGCAATTGCAAACATAGAAGAGAAAAATATAAAAAACTCAGCTAAACATGACTCAAAAAGAAAAACTACAATCTATTAGAGAATATTAATGATTATATAGAATTAAAAAAGCTTAAATTAGAATTAATTAAAGTCAAAGAACATAAAAAGAATAAATGAAATATTAAAGCAGACAAACTAGCAAAAGAAGAATTAAAATTAGACAACATAGATAGAATAATAAAGAAAACAGTACAAAAAACTAGTGTTAATTTTTGTTGGAAAGATGAAATAGTAAAGGACCCTACAAGACAATTTATAAAAGAAATTTTAGACTTAAAGAAAAGTATAGAGTAGAGCTTTACAACAGCAATTAAAAAGACAGAACCAGATTAGAATAATAGAATATACAACTAGTCATATTTTTGAAAGAAGATAAAAGATCAAAATAGAAGCAAATGCTCAAGTATAGAAAAAAGCAAACAAATAGAAACTTTGACTAAAGTATAAATGAAAAATTACCAGTAGCCAAAATACTAGTACAATGTCATCCAGATTTATATGAAAATTCATATTGCATTATTTGTAAGGAAAATATAGATGAAGATCAAGATCATTTAGCAATATGTAAATGTTATAAGAATGTATAGAAAAATATAGAGAATACATTAACTAATTTAGCATAGATGAAGCTCTTAGATGAAGTCAAACTAGAAACAAATAAAGATCAACTTAAGGAAGTATTTTGGAATACACAAACAAAAGAAAACATAAAAGTGAGCATGGAATAATCAAAAGCCTAATACTAAAAAAAACAGTAGAATCACTGTAAGATTTATTAAATTCAAATAAGAAAAGGAAAAAGTTTGTTTCAATAGCAATTAACATAGCATGGAACTGCTTTTATGAAGATATATAGAAAAAATAATATGAAGTCTTTATTTTATAAGAAAAAGAAATAGGAATTGATAAAAAGGCGAAAAGGAAAAAAAGAAATATGAAGAAAAATCTAACAAAGAAAGTTAACAACTTTAGTATTAAAGAAAAAGCTATTAGAATAAAAAAGAGCCAAATTATAAAAGCAAAGAAAAGTAAAAAAAAGGAGAAAAAAATAGAAATACACAAAGCATGGTCTGACTCAATTGCAAATTTTATTTATAGTAAATCAAGGCCATTTATATATGGCCTTATTGGCTAGTCTAATACAGCCTCTAGATCTGTATACATCACCAACCAGTATGACAGACCAACTCTGAGCACTCAAAGAAGCAGCCAGAAGATGTCAGACCAGAAATTTAAGTTAAAATATATGTAACATACACAGGTCAAACAAATAAATAAAGGGTGAATAATAGGTAAATAACAGAAAAAAAAACTACTATTATTCTACCCTATATCTGCCAAATAATAGCAGCATAACAGCAGCATAACAGCAGCATAACAGCAAAATAACAGTAAAATAACAGGAGGTTTGTTAATATGAATAACATAATGGTAACATAATAGCAAAATAATAGAACAGTTTCATTATTTTACTTTTAGTCTTGTAACTAAAAGTAAAATAATAAAACTGTTCTATTATTTTGCTATTATATTACTATTATGTTACTCATATTAACAAACCTCCTGTTATTTTACTGTTATTCTGCTGTTATGCTGCTGTTATGCTGCCATTATTTGGTGGATATAGGGTAAAATAATGGCAGTTTTTTTTTCTGTTATTTATCTATTATTTACCCTTTATTCATTCGTTCAACCTGTGATATATACAAGAATCTTAATAAAAGTTTATGACAAGGCTGCCAAAATTAAAAAAAAAAAAAAAAAAAAAAATAGCATTCTTAATTCATGTTTAAATAGAAATTCTTCTAAAACATTTTTATTTCAGAATTTTAAATTTTTAAATATCTAATTAGTTATTAATTCAAAAATATATATTAACTTCTTTTCTTCAACTTACAATTTTACTTTACTCACTTAATCTTAAACAGTAAAATTAACTAAATATGGACAAATTTAAATATATCTCAAATTGACTATACTGATAATTATAAGAATATTTCATTTGAATTTGATTACAAAATCATTACTTTTAACATATTTATAATCATTAAAAAAACTAGTCCACTAAACAATATATAAAAAATAACTTTTTTTAAAAAAATTGTTCTAAGAAAAACTTTGACAATTATTTAAACTAAATATCCTATAATTTTCAACAACTTTAAACTAAAATTTTAACTACCTATTAATATATTAAAAAAATTGGATTTCTGCAAGTTAAATAGACATTGCATATTTATGTTATATAGCTGCATATTTTGCCTTATTTAGGATATGTCTAAAGCAGAGGCAAATCATGTAATTTAAAGCCAATTAAATTATAGAATTTTAATGATCACTAGTAAAGCAAAACAAAAAATAAAAATGAAAAACCCAAAAAATACAAAAAACAGTAGTCTAAACCTGCCTTGAGCAGGTTAATTAAAAATATCAGAAAGGCAATTTTGCATATATATAACTACCTAAAATCTAAGCTAACTCTGATATATGCAACCCTAACTTTAAAGTTAATCAAAACCTTTATTAAATATGAGTTGCCTCCACTTTAGATGTTCCCTTTATTTAGTACATGTTCATATAATAACTCCCTATTTTAATTACATATTTGTGTAACAATTTTTTATGTGCTTTATTCATATTTCGTGTAATGTATTTATGTGTTAATTTGTCTGTTAATATATATAATACGTATGTATTTTATTTTTTTAGCTGCAACCATGACTTGAATTTTTATATTTGTTATTATAGATAATGTTAGTGAGACCTTTATTGAATGAAGATATAGATTGAAAAGAGAATCTGCTGCTCGACAAAGAGCTAACCAATCTTCAGAGCAAAATGAACATTATAAAAGGCAATGTAGAGAATCAAAGGGTCGAAAAATTATGTATGATGCATCTGCTGAACTTACTCAAAGTTCTCAAATACTGTCCTATGATTGTATTCCAGTTGTATCCCTTACTAATGCTACTAACCTTTTTATGCCTTCTAACCCTAATATACTCTTCTTAGGACCTTCCCATTATGAAGATGCTCTTTCAAATAATTTTTAAACTGTTGATTTTTATGTTTCTCTTGTTATTACAGTACTAAGTGTTTCAATTTCAAAAGCACATGTGTATCCTTTTAATTCAAGTAGGCTACAACAACATACTCTAGAAAAAATAAATATTTCATGTGTTTCTTGTAGTGCCTTAAAATGAGTAAACAAAAGAGTTGCAGGTTTGACTAAACATTTATCTGTATTTGTGACCTGTTGTGCTAGAGAAAAAGTTTTGCTACTATGTCTTCAGGAACCTCCAACTGAATTAAAATCTTACTTAATAGGCGATGATAAGTTTTCACAAGAATTTCACCAAAATATCTATGCTTATAATTCAACTTTAGCTTTTATTTTTATGGAAGCTAAAATTAATTATCATATAACTGGCATAAGAAGTCCTTATACTTTTCATATACATGGTGAAATGTATTATAGAATTGGATCTTTTCTTTCCAACCCACTACTAAACCTTTTTTATTTGCATAACTCTATATTTTTGATACTAATAACAAGGTTCAAAATAGGCTTAATACTATGCTTTCTTTAAATTGAGTAACTTTGGCTGCTCTTCAAAATATGCTTTATGATACTAACCTATATGTACAAGTTTTTCAGCAAACAGGTAGATTGTTATAACAGAATCTATCTCAACAGTTGAAAATAGTAATTACAGTTTTGAAAATAACTAATTCAAGACATTATAACATTCCAAGCACTTCTGAAGTTGCTACTATTATAGTAGATGATAATAATAATACATCTACTATATGCAATCATGATATTATTTTATATTCCCATGATAAAGATCTACAGTATATATCTGAGCTTCATAGAGCATATGCATTATTACATTATGTTCTTCTTTTTTCAAAAGGGGAGATGGATGGCATCTGAAAATTTCAATCTGTGATAAAGCACAATTATCTTTTTTTGATGTTGAACAACAATATAATATTGATGATACTATCAATGCAGACAATAGTGTTAAACATTAAAAACATATTACTATGATGCAATATTATGCATATCGACTGCAAGTAGATAGACCTGAAGAAGGAATAAATCTTCATCTATTTGAACATCTTTTTCAACAATATATTATTGATGCATATGCAAATGTGAAACAAAATCAACTTAACTATTTAAAGTGCAATCAAAAAAAGATTTATGCAGACCTTTATAGTAGCCTTCATAATGCATTAAGTATATAAGATGAAGTACCTTAGAATTTAAATGTCGCTAATATTGGCAAGCAAATTATTCTTCTATCGAGTTTTACTGCTAGGCCATGACAAATACAGCAGCTATATCAGGATGCGATGGCTATTGTATGAGAGATGGGTAAACTTGATCTTTTCATTACATTTACTTGCAATCCAGCTTGGCCCAAAATTACTTCAGAACTTCTTAATAATCAGATAGTCTCTGATCGTCCTAATTTCATGGCTAGAGTCTTCAATATGAAATTAAAAGCTCTAATAGATAATATTCTCAAAAATCATATTTTCAGAATAGTTATAGGTTATGTTTATGTTATTAAATTTCAAAAGTGTGACCTTTCTTACACTTATATCCTTTTAATTCTTAATCAAAATAGCAAGCCAAGAACTATTGAAGATTATAATGCTATTGTATTTGCTAAAATCTCTAATAAAAATCTTCATCTTTTGGCATATGATACTGTTTGCTGATCGATGATGCATAGTCCATGTGGTTTTGCTTATTCAAATGCACCATGTATGGGAGAAGGGAAATGTTTGAAATGATATTCACACACCTTTTGTACTACTACATCTGTAAATAAAGATGGTTATCCTATCTACTGCCACTCTCATGATGGCCATTCTGTCAAGATTAGAGATGCACTATTAGATAACCACTGGGTGATACCATATAATCTTTATTTTGCTATAAAATATGATGCATATATTAATGTTGAAATATGTTTTTCTATAGCTGCTGTTAAATATCTTTTTAAATATGTTTATAAGGGCCATGATCGAGCAACAGTTAAAATAAGAAGACAAACTAAAGTAAGACCAACAAATGAAATTAATGAAATTAGTCTTTATTTAGATGCTCGCTATGTTTCTGCCTCAAAAGCTGCATAGTGACTATTCCATTATAAACTACATAATAAGAAACCTGATATTATAAGGCTTTATGTTCATCTTTCTGGCCAACACACTGTATATTATCAAGATAATGAAATTTTAGTAGAGATACTTGAGCATGAAAACACTTCTGAGACCATTTTAACTGCATGGTTTAAAGCAAATGCATGGTTTTCAGCTGTATTTGAATTAACATATGGTAATTTTCCTACTCAATGAGTTTACTATAAAGACCACAAGAAATGAAAACCTAGACAACAAGGAAATAGTATTGGTCAGATGTATTTTGTATATCCAAAAGCTAGAGAACATTACTATCTTCAAATTATACTAAACATAGTGCAAATGCAACATCCTTTGATCATCTTAGAACTGTCAATAATGTTCTTTATCCTACTTTTAAGGACATCTGTGAAGCTTTAGGTTTACTTCAAAACAATAAAAAATGGGACAATTGTTTAAATAAAGCTCAACAAATACAATCTGGATTACAAATATAGTATTTGTTTGCTATAATTTTTATGTTTTGTTATCTCACTTATTCGAAATTACTTTGGCAAAAATACATCACATCTTTTAGTGATAATATACTTTATCAAACCCATTTAGAAGCAGAAAGCAATCCTTCCTATACTTTTACTGAATCTGATATATACAATATAGCATTAACAAGATTAGAAGCTATTTTGATTAGAAATAGATTCCATCTTACCGATTTTCCAAACATGTCTTTACTGCTTCAATTATTTAACAATCATATTTAGCAAAATTATTTACTCACAAAAGAGTTGCAATATGATCATAATTTTCTTAAAGTTAGAACTCAGGATACCTATTCATGTTTAAACTCAGAACAGCACTTCATTTTTGATACAGTAATTACAGCTGTAGAAAATCAAAGTAATGCTATATTTTTTGTGAATGGTCCTAGAGGTTCAGGTAAGATGTTTTTATATAATGCTATATTAAACAAAATCAGATCTACTAGAAATATAGCACTTGCAGTAGCTACTTCAGGCATTGCAGCACTTTTACTAGATAGAAGTTGTACTGCACATTCTTTTTTTGAATTCCATTTGAGTTACATAAGGATTTTGTATATAATATATCACATGGGTCAGATCATGCAATTCTTTTACAACAAGCAAGCCTCATTATTTGAAATGAGGCTCCTATGGCAAATCATTTTGCATCAGAAGCTGTTAATCGAACTCTAAGAGATTTAATGAAAGCAATAGATTTAGCTTTAGAAAATCAGCCTTTCAGTAGAAAAGTTATTGTATTTGGAGGCAATTTTCATTAAATTTTACTAGTAGTACCTAAAGAAAGAAGAGAAGACATTGTTGGCTCCTGTTTATTGCAATCTCCTCTATGGTGTCATGTAAAAGTTATAAAATTAACTATTAATATGCAGTTACTACAAGCTGAAAGTGCAGAGGAAACTATTGAATAGCAAAACTTTGCTAATTGGCTTCTAGAAATTGGTGAAGATCATGCTGAACATATTGCTGAAAAAGGCAACTGTATTAAACTTCCATCTGATATTTGTCTTCCTTCACAAAGTATAAATGCATTAATAAATTCCATTTATCCTAATATTTCATTCCATGCTGATGATCCAAATTATTTGATGAAATAAGAAATTCTTGCTTCAAAAAATACTAACATTCAAGTTATTAATTCAACAATCATGAATATATATTTAGATGATGATAACAAATACTTGAGTACTAATAGTATTGATGAAACTCAATATAATAATTAGGAACATAATTATCTAACTGAATTTTTAAATACTTTAAATGTCAGTGGCTTACTACCACATAAGTTATCATTAAAAATAGGTAAACTGGTTACACTTCTTTGTAATATCAATCCTTCAGAAGGTCTTTGTAATGAAACATGTTTAATTTGCTGTTCATTTGCATGCCATATGATTGAAGTTCAAATTATTACTGGAATACATGCTGGATTATATGCATTTCTTCTAAGAATTTCTCTTACACCTTCAAACACATCTTTTCCATTTTCTCTTACTTACCATTAATTTTCTTTACAACCTGTCTTTGCTATGACAATAAATAAAGTGCAAAGACAGACCTTAAATAATGTTGGAGTTTATTTGCCTATACCTGTATTTTCTCATGATCAACTTTATGTTGCTTGCTCTAGGTCAACTTCTAAACAAAATCTTAAGATATTAACCACAAGTCAACATACTGATACTGGATATACTCAGAATATTGTATATCCAGAAGTATTACAATTGTAATACTTTTTTTTTTTTTTCTTATTATTCCTATTCCTACTTTATTATTACTTACACACTAACTTTTCTTAATGCTCATCTTTATTTTCTTTTTTTTCTAGCTATTCTAACTTATTCTTTTTTTCTAATTTTCATATTTTTTTTAACTTTATTAATACTTTTTTTTTTTCCTTTACTTACAGTTTTCTTGACTATTCTACCTTTTATGCTTAAATAAGTTTTGTCATATCTATTATATTAAAATCTATTAGTTAAAATAACTATTATCCAAATTATATAAGTCTAGCATTACTACCCTAAAAAAATCCATCTATTATTAGATCTTAGAAATTATTCCTGATTAGTTTAAGTTTAGAGTCCTATTAGTAAGGTGATGCTTGCATTAAAAAGCTTTAAATGTAATAAAATTTTATAAGAAAAATTTTTATTAATACACGCATATACTTTTATAAGCAATATTTTAAGCTACATGTATTTTTTATTATTTTGCATTTTTTTGCCTTTTTTTGCATTACATGATTTAATTACTATTCTCAAATGAATTTTGTCATTATAAGAATTTTATTCTAATAAGATACATAAAAAAGCCAAGATGAAGTAACATATAGAAAAGATTCATTAGACATGTAAAACATTTTCAGGTTTACTTCTGATTTATTAATATGTAATTCAATATCCAAAATTTAAAATTGGAACCCAAATACTTAAATTTAATAGCATAAATTTCATAAATTCAGCATAATGAAACTCACTATACTTTTTCAAATTATAAAATAATATGCATACTTTTAAAGTCAATATAATGCATATAAGTTGCACTATATAAGTATCTCAATAATATTTTTATATATATTTCAAGTCTAATTAATACATCTTTAGTACAAAATATTTACATTCCTGAATACAATTAATTCATTCTTATTACTCAAAATACTTTTATTCTAAATATCCAAACATTGTAAGATATATTATAACAAACAGACTCTTAAAAGTTTATTATCTAATTAAGCAAACTTAAAGATTGCACTTAAAGAACTCTATGTTTAAAAAGTTTATTGAAGATACTTTCAAAATAGTTTATTTTATATTTTTATTACCAAATATACTTTAAATTTATATTATAAAATTAGACTATCAGCAAAGCGATGGGTTATATACTAGTTACTAAACAAAATAAACTTAATTTAGTTTAAACAAAATATTTAAAACACTTTTTAAAACTATTACTAAAAACTTTCTTACAAAAAAATTAAAACAATTCATAAAATCAAATCTGACAAACTACTTAAACATCATTTACTCTATTATAAATACTGTAATAAATTTACTAAAAACTAGCAAGCTGTAGTAATTTTAAAGTAATAAGTATTGAGTAGAAGATCTTTTATTTAAAGAAAAATAAAATAAATAAAAATAACTAAAAATAAGAAATAAATATTTA